CGCATATTCAGGGAGAACATGCAAACTCCATGCAAAAAGGCCCCAGAGTCTTCTTGCTGCAAGGCAGCATTGCTACCCACTGCTCCACTAAGCAGCCTCAATGCAAACAAATGTGGGGAAATAAAGCAGGATTTTGCTTTTTATAATGAACATGGTTGATTTAATGTGTTTAAGCGTAGTACAGCAACCCTTTAGCATGTGTGTGAAAAGAAAATGTGAGACTGGAATTAATCAGCAAACTTGCGGCGGGGGTTTTCCTCTGAGCTCTCTGGGTTTATTAGAGGCAGAAGGTAAGACACACATTTCATTTGGATTTTCTCACAGACCCTGGCCACTCTTTAGTATCTACAAAGTACTTCCTTGTCCTTCTTGAAAGCAAGAGCTACATCCAACGTACATGTTAGAAACAGTTACTTAAAAAACAAATATAGAAATAAAAATGTACAACATACAATTGATATATTTATATATATATATAATATAATTTTTGCTCTTATCAGTTTTTTTTTTTACAGAGGTAAAAATACTAAATGTAAAAAAAAAGGATCCAATTCAGTACAAGGTGATTTTTTTTTCAAATTTGTTTTCAATTTAAATGCACAAGGAGATAAGGAGAATGTTTTCAGGCACTTTGTAAATGGCTCTGACATGTGAGATCAATGTAAAAATGAACAAATGTTAAAAAAAAAAAACACACAGAGAAACCTTCTGAACGGGTCGGCCCAGTCCCTGATGCATCATCATTCGTGGATCCCAGTTTAGGAGAACAAAGCCAGTATGTGACTGTGAGCTGATCCCAGTAGCTTTGGATCAAGGAGCAGGATGGACAGTTTTGAAAGGATGCCAGCTTCACATACACACCCACGCATACACACTATGACATACAAGTGGATACAGGATGTATCAAACTGATACAGCCGGGGAAGGAGGACTTCCTCAACCACTCTGGACTTTTCGGCTACAGTAAAAGGACATTTCCTTGGCAAAACAATGAGGGCTGAATGCTTGTTTTTAGGATTTTGAATGTATTTTTTTAACACTTTGTGCTCTCTGAGGGATTCCTACAGACATCCTGCCTCGTTTGATCTTTAAACAGCTTATTGTGTTCCCCATCACATCCCAGACCCTGCCAAAAGGCCAAAGGCTGAGGAGGCAGTAAAGCAGCAGGTGGGAAAAAGTTCCCTGCCTTTTTTTTTTTTTCTGTTTTTTTGCGACCTTTGCCGTAAAATACAGAAAACCTTAAACCGTTTCTTTTGCAGTCCAGCTGAGGTGTCCTGACTTCACTCCTCGCTTCTGTTGCTGAGCCAAATCTGGCATGCAAAGGGGCTGGTGGTGGCGTGCCCTAAGGCGCAGAGCAGGTCACATGTGGTTTCAGCGAGTTTGTTTCTTGTGTTCTCAACCGCAGCTTTTAAAGCGTGGAGGCATGGTCTAAATTCTGAGATAAATTAGGTCACTTTACAAGTAAGAGCACAGAGTTCAGTTTTGTCTTAAGTTAAATTAAAACAGCAAATTAACAGTCTATTTTACGTACATGTTCTTAGCTTTCATAGGGCTCCATCCAGACCAGTGGTTCACAAGAAAAGTTGGGGTTGAGAATAAGGATTTACAAGTAAATATAAAAAGAAACAGTAAAGCATATTTATACCATACATTTTATAATAAATGAAAACAGTAAGAGATAAAGGAGTGTGTTGAGTTTTGATTGTGTTCCTGTCATTTTTATAACCAATTAACTGAGCTATTAGTCGTTCCAGCTGATCCTTTGGCTCACGAGTTGACATAGGCCAGTTAGCAAACATAAAACAAGCTCTTAAAAAGGCACATTTTCACAGCTGCAAAGATTTTCTTGTGGTTTTAAAGTACTTTTTTTTAATTAAATACCAGAGAAAGCACAGAATTGACAACTTTATCAGATGCTGAGCACTGCAAGTCAGTTGGCTGAAAGACAGCTACTACACATTTTGCGTGATAAGAAAATTTACCTGTCAGGAAATATACAGTCGCAAAAAAAGGAAGGAAAAAAAAAGAAAGAGGCATTCATTGTTGGGAAACTAGACGAAGCATCATATTAAGGCAATGCTGCTCTGAAACAGCTGCAGGTCTGTAAAGCAGCAGACTGCAGGCTAGCTGCCAAGTTAACCAGGTTTGTTTCACATGTGTAGTTAAATGAGGAGCAGAGCAGCAACTAGGCATGAGCATTATTAAGCACTTTTACTTTAAAAACGACTGAAACTGAATGTAAATGCTGTTTGTTTTTGATCCATGCTTCAACAAGCTATCTGCTGTAAGCTGCAGCATGACTAATTTTTGGTGTTCTGCTTTGAATAAAACCATTTAGATAACGTTTGTATTTTTAGCTTCATTTTTAATGGTGATATTGTGATACTTATTCTCAGTGTTATTCTTTCAGAGTCTCATACCAGCACATCCCTAGTCATGAGTCTCTTCCACTACTTTGATTGTTTGACAGACAAAACAGTAATCATTGATCTAGACCACTTTTACTCAGGCCTTCCAAATCCTGACTGGTAAGAAAGAGAAAGGAATTGGCTGCTTTAAAAAAGGGGGTGTTGATTGTACATCGCAGGCAAACATGATTCTAAACACGTCCTTAAATGCAACGAGAACTTTTTTTATTCTTTGCTTTATTTCATTCTTGTTAGATGATCATATTTAAGCTGAGCTGATTTTTCCGATTGTTGCAGACATCTTTAAAGAGAGTGGTGAAGTTTAGACTGAGGCTCTACATCTTTAAGGCATACAGGCACTAATTCTTCTTTTGACAAAAAAAAAAAAATCACCTTCTGACTTCTGGATGGAGTTTCTATTTTTGCTGAGTGAAATCTGACAGGAATAGTGAATCTTAGCACGTGATCTGGCTAAGGGACTTCTTAGGCACTGTTTAAAGTCGCAAGAAAGATGCAAGGATGCTCGATTATCGTAGCGTTACTGAGGCAATGTCGAATCACACTCTTAAGGGTAGAAAATAAACACAGATCTTTGAAAGATCTTTAATGTAGTAAAAAGCTAGATTGGATTTGTTGAAGTGAGATTCTGCTATGGTATTATCACTTAAAGAAAACAGTCACATGGCAGCAAGCCTGTAAGCAGTGAAGAGGCCATCAGAGCTGCCCTTAGCTTTAGCTGACCTTAGCTTTAGCCAAACTAAACAGTGGGGTCAGATGCAGGATTTTCCCTGCAACCAAAGGTAAAATGACTTTCGATATTGTTGTATCCCTGGGCTAAACATCTTTACCCGCATTGCATACCGATGGTGGTCAGAGGGCCTGGTGGCCCCAGGGCAGCTGTGGCTACAATGTAGCTCACCACCATCAGTGTGTGTCTGAATGTGTGAATGACTGAATGTAGACTTTGGACAAGTCTCCTGACTTGAAAAGGCGCTACAAGTACAGGTCATTTAGCTTTAGCTGAGCTTAACTTGATTTTGAAAATTTACATTTCATTGGAAACGAGGCTATATTTGCAGTTATCCAACAGCCATACAAGACAATGTTGCCTTTTGTGTTACTACAAGAAGCTAAGTGGATTAAAACTGCTGCCTATAAACAACAAATTAAGCTAAATCTAAAAGAAAGGGATTAGGCTTGACTCTGATTCACATTAGGCTCTTTTCTTGGTTCTGTATTTCTTTCTTCGGATCAGCATAGAGAGCAGATTATCCGCCCAGGTTAATCCTGAAAATTGGGCCTATTTTTACTAAATAGCTGTTAAAGAACAAGCTTAACTCTAACATCACGTCAAACCTTTATGATTTTGTTATCAGGGAAAAATATCTATTATAAAAACAATTACTGGTTGGGAGCTGAAGTTGAGTCTAAGGCCTCAAGAGTGTATGGTTACATTCAAAGGCATTCATATAGAAAGCTTATCTAAAAAAAAAAAACCTAAAAAGATTACATTACTCTAACCCTACCCTCATTTACCGTGTATTGAAGTGCATTCAAATATTCGTATGACAGTTTCAGGGCCTTAAACATTGCATATACTCATCTGCAGGATGAAAGGTTACTTGGGCATAGCCTACTGTCTATACAAAGGCCTTCTTGGAAAGAGTGAATGGACATGGATTTGTGTACATCCTTGTATACATATGTATGTCCCATACTGTAACTAAATTACTTGAGTCTGCACTACTCTGAAAGAGAGCGCAAAACTTCTGGATGTTGTGTAACACCATTGAGGATGGTGTATGCCTGAGTTTTTCCAGGCAATCAGGTAGCGACTTAAACCTTGTCCAAAGGTGAAACTGTTTAGTTAATAAAACCAGTTGGAGAAGTATAGTCAACCAACTTCTTCTGCTGTATTGTGGTATTCCCACATGACATTTTTTTGTATTGCCAAAATCAGCTAAAAAGGGAAGTCCGTCTGAGGATTCACCAACGTTTCTACAGACTTACTGCTATGTGACATCAGTCTGCTGACCTGTTATTGATAACAACTTCACCAATCCCACTTCAAAACTCCAAACTGCTCTTTTAAGAGGAGTACCACATTTGTTTGTATGAGCAAGGATGTGTTCTGAGAACTATAAAAACTATATACATTAGCTTTACTACAAGCTGCAGGAGAGACAACCGAAGGCCTCAACGCACACACATACAAACACGCATACGCACGAAGCAAGCACACGCACGCACGCACGCACGCACGCACGCACGCACGCACGCACACACGTACGTTCCCAAAGAGTTGTAGTGTCTGATTTCTGTTTTGAACTGAGCGGGCCTAATGTTTGAATAGAAAATAAACAATATGGCCACAGAGACTTTAAAGGAAAGAAAAAAAAAATACAACAAAGAATTTAAGTTCTTTGAGGCCGAGTCAAAGTACAAATATAACAATATAAAGTACCTGCATATGTGATACATGACGTATAGGTTGGCTATAAAAAAGGCCCCCTGAAAAAGACTGCTCTCTCTTTTGAAACAGAGCATGAAATGGCCACATGGAGAGCTGAGAGAACTGTCTGCCATAAGGGGGAGCTTATCTTCCCAGGCTGTTCACAAAATGCAACAACTGTTTTTTTTTTTTCTTATTTGGCTTATTTCAGATTCTGGAATTTGTAGAGAAACCCAGAAAAACCAAGGCAAGAGAGCGAGCAGCTGTGGCCACTTGTCCCTCCTCTGTGAGCGTTTTCCCCATCCCTCCTTTTCCCTGTGCTTGCGTTGGCTTAAGTTTTTTTGGATTTTCCTCAGAAGATTCCAAGCAGGGCGTCTCAGCTCTGGGCCTTGTGTCGGCCTCCGCAGCAGCCGCATGCCAGCCCCGCCCGGTGGCAAGCGTGGAGGGGTGGGTAAAGGCAAAGGCAGGGCGCCACCACGGACAGACCGAGAAGAGCCAACCAGCGAGTGCCTAGACGGCCGCCGCCGCTGCCCTCGCCCCCGTCGCAGGAGCAAGGGTCCGAGTACTCCCCTTCGGGGTCAGACATGCAGTGATAGAGCATGGTGTCTGCCAGCCACATGCAACTGACCCGTCGGATACACACGCGCAAGGGGTCTGGAGCATCTTGGCAGCGTCCTCTCCGATTTTCAGAGAGGTAAAAGGTCTCGCCACAGTGCTCACACTGAGCACGTTCCAACCCATTGTCCTTCCGCCCCTTCCTTCCATTGGAGGATGGGGAGGAGCTCGCGAAAAATGAGCGGGGCTGGTTAGAGACGACAGAGGAGAAGGGTTGGTGGTAGGAGCCGCCGTGACCCTTCGAGTTCAAGGATCCTAGGGCGGGATCAGAGTCTGAAGGCGACAGGGCCGGAGCCAGGGGGTAAGTATAGTCGTGTTTATGCGCCTCTGTTTTGTCGAAGTGTACATAGGATTCAGAGTCATCCGAGTGGATGAATCTGTCACGCACTATTGCGTGTCTGTAGTCCTCGTAGCCCGTGATCCAGGAGCGCTCCGCTTGCCGTCCAAGGAAGCGATCCGTGCTTCGCTCCCAGCTCCGCTCTCTCGGGTTTATTCGGACAATCTCCTCATCGAAGGTGACATGTCGGTGAATCCGAGACGATGGCTAAGAGGAAAAGACAAAAAGAGGCTTTACCTTAAATAACCTTTACTTGTGCAATAAAGGGCAACAGACTTCATTAAACCATTAGACAGTAAAGAACCTTGAAATACACTCATTTTAAACAGGTACAGTATAAAATTACACAGAACAATTCCAGGAACAAGAAACCTTTTATATCTCAGAAAGAAGAAAAATCTTACAATCGTCAAAAAAAAATTCATTAGTAACAGTTTAGCCTGCTTAACGGCCTAAACAATCCTACTACATCTCCTATAATGCATCGCAACAGCTTATCCTTCTTAAGACAAAGATGCACAAGTTATGCCTGTGGAAGACTCAAATGCAACAAGAAGACTTATGGAACTTTTTGTATTGTCAAGAAACGGCAAACCAAGTCAGTCCTACAGTGTTACCAAGCACACAGTTTACACACAGTGTTGACATGGCACTGAGCACATGTGTCCAGATGGAGGTCAGGGAACTTTTTTTGTTTCATGAATAGCTCAGTCTTGGTTTCATCTGAGCAAAGCAACCATTTTTAGTCACATTCCTGAGTAGGTCGCAAAAAAGTTGAACTGTAAATATACAAATCACCCATTTACCTGGTCCAAGTAGTAGTGGTCTGTGAGGCGGTAGGAGTCATGCAGGTCATGTCGATGTCCTGATGGGCACTTGTGTCTCTGAGGAAGGGGTGAGGACTCGAGAGGCGGTGGCAGGGAGCCGTCCAACTTTTGAGAGGAGTTGGACGAGCTGTCCGTGGCGTTCTGAGTGGACAAACAAACACAGGATGTGCGCTTAACAGCCGCTCTTTCATTGGAAGCGGCAGACAAATAGCCAGTGTTGGAGGACACCGTGATTGGACAAACAAAAACAGGAAGCCTCGAAGCAGCACTGATTGAAAAAAAACAGGAAACATGTGAACTTTCAAAAGCCACTTGATCCAAGTTTAGATGGCAGCAACTACGGTAAGACTCCTGCAGTAACAACCAAACTTACTCATTTTAGCTCCAACAAATGCAAGTAGAAACTCAGTTATTATGCTTCCTTTTTAAGAGCTTGAATAAATTAAATAAAGTTTAAGTAAGAAACAAAAAACTTTTTAAATGTTGTATGTATGCAGAGCAACTTGATATCAGGACTGCAGACATTTGCACACAGTAACCAGAGTCACCTTTTTTGGCCTCTCCGATGCACTCCCCCCCCCGATCCTAACTCTCCTACCCTCACAACAACCTGTTCCACATTCCACCTCTCATCTCTCGCCGGCACTGGGCTGCTGCATATGCCTATATGTGTGTGTGTGCACGGATAGTATCCTGTTCCCTTTCCGCTAAAGGCCGTCAGGGCTTGAATCCAACCCAAACCTTGGCCAGACACAAGGCAGTCGGGGTGTTGCCATGTAGTGCTCAGACGGTCACATTTTCAGACAGAGCAAACCGGGGGTCGTCCTCTGGGGGCACCGTCTGACAGGACGGTTGGTGCTCCTCCTGTCTCATCGTGTCATCATGGTTATATGCGTGCATGGGTGGGAGCTATTATAGATGTGTTCAGTCAAGGGAAAGAGTCTAACTAGACAATGGCATCCAAACTTTTAAAATCAGCAAGTTCAGATGATTTCCAGGCTCCTTTTCTTATATAAAAAAAGAAAAAAAATTCATTTCCTAAGTGTTTTATATCTTCTAGACATATAAAAAAACATGGTTTCAAAGCAAACAATGCAGTCTAGTTTTGTAAAGGTATCTGTAAAAAAATCCCAAAACATCTCGCATGGTAACCCTATTAAAAGCCAACCATACACTCTCCCAAATGTTTTGGGTCCATTCTTTTTTGAAACAGACTTTTGTCTGTCTGTGCTTAAAAACTATTAAGAGACAAGTCAGTGTTTAAACAATGGAGCACAGGGTTCAGTGTTTGGGATTCTGTTTACTTCAAATTTAAACAGGAAAACAAATGATACTTTGAGTTTTACCTGATTTTTTTTTCTCCAAGAAAGCGCCTAGGAGCAGATCAGAAGCAACTAACAAAATATCACTAATTATAACTTTGTGCTAACATCCATGCCAAATGGAGAAAAAAAATAGTTTAAATGTGCTTTGAACCAAGTAACCTCAGGTTTGCAATGTTATTTAATTGTGTTAAATATGATATTGTAGTAAACTATTATTAAAGCATTTCTTGGTCATTACAATCTATCATTTTATGTTTGCACTAATTTCTGCACTGAAAAAACCAATGCAATTCTGTGACATTTTGCAGAGTTGGGGAAGATTCATCTAAAGCTGGACATCAGAGCTGCATTATGCTGCTGAGATCTAAGCTGTCTAAGGACACCCCCCCAATCCCCCACTATTGACCAAACCACCAGTGGCAATAACCTTTGGTCTAGCTGCTGGATCATAGATATTGATGGATATCCAATGCAAGTCCAGGACATGTCTTCCTATTTCAGGTTGTGATCATTGTTTGGATGCCGGCGACTTTTTATGAATCCCACAACTGCAAGCACCTGTTCAAGATGCAGACATTCGTAAAAATAAACGTTGGGTAAAATTGTTGTGTTGATCTCATTAACTCCTTGGTTATGTTTATCTGCAGACACTTCCACTACATAGCTACCACTTTGATGCATGCAGAACAAATCTGGGATGTTATCAAAGCCTCATGACCCAGATCTGGTGTGTGATCCTGTTTTGGCACCACACTGAAGACAATTTTTACAATTTCACTACCAAATTGAGGACAGTTTGTAACAAAATGGGGTTATTTTTCTTTTGCTATGTGTAGGACTAAGGTGTGCAGTGGAATTTATGGTCAGGCATGCTCTGGTAATGGTTAGGTTTGGGTTTAGTTTCAGGATTAGACCATAGAAGGGTTAAAAATGAAAGAAAATCAATAGGAGTCGATACATGGTGCTCACTACAAATAGCATAATGTTAACGGCTGAGTGTGTGGATGATGTCTGTCTGCTGAAGCCAACCCCATTATATCCTGCTCCCCACATGGATACTGCCATGCCGAGAATTTCCCCCAGCTTTCTTACAAAGCCCCAAGAGCAGCCAGCCAAAAATAACATAACATACCCGCCCCCTGGATAAGACATTACTGGGAGAAGGAGGAGCCGATACCATACAAAACCAGTCCGACTCTGGCCTCCATGGCTGCAACTAATTCAAAACACAGACCAGACTTTTCTGCTGCAAGCCCAAACTCCACAAGAGGACATGGAGAAGGGGGGGAGGGGGTTCATATTTCAGGACATCCTCTTGCTGTATATTCCAGTCCAAGGCTGGACGGAGGGCATTTCAAGTTATTTTCTGACACAAAACATGTCGAAGCTAAAAGCTGGGGAGGATTCATCCTTCAGCAGGCCAATCCTGCACGCCCGGGTCGAGCCCGGAATTGCTTCACTCCCCCTGTTGTGAATTAGCCAAAGTAGAGAAGGAGACAGGAGACGATTGGATGGGGGTGGGTTGGGTTAAGTTTAGGTTTGTTAAATGAGGAATAATTTAGGGAAGTCTGCACATCATTGCTCTCTCTCCCCCTTCCAACCCCCTAAATGGCAGTAAATCTGATGAAGCACTTCCTCTTGTCCACAGTGGAGCTCTCAAGCTCCACCACAGTGTCCGTTAACCTCAGGAGGCAGATGCTAAGAGGAAGACAAACCACGTTCAAACAATGAGTGTCAATGCATTGCTCTCATGTTGTCACTTAACAGGTGGACTTTTTGAAAGCCTGCACCCCCTGTGACAATGTACTTTGACAAGAGTTTCCACCTTATACAGCTTAAACTCAGTCATATTAAATGGAGAGTGAGTGAATTTTTCCCCCTTTTTTTCTGTCCCAGATTCTCAATTCGATTTAGTTCAAGACTTTGACTGGGACAAACTATCACATGTTCTGATCTAAACTGTTTCATTCTAGATCCCTTTCCCGGTTTGGTTCAGGGTGAACATGCAGAAAATGTTTTCCACAGCAAGCTGCACTGCTAAATGTGAACGAAAAATAAGGGAATTTCCTTAAAATAAGTATTTCCAATTGATTTGAGTGGGTTAGTAAAACAGGCTGCCAATCGGGGACTTTTTTCACTTAATAGAGGGAAAATAAATCTAATTTCAAGTACAGTATATATAACTATCTTAATTTAAGGAAAAAACACAGTTTATTTTACTAAACTGCTCCAGTAAAGACCAAAAACGCTGATTTCAAGATATTTTTTATCTATTTTATGACCAATTTTTGCAGAGTGAGCTTAGCTTGGAGGATCAAAGGGTCAGTTTTTGTCTTAAATGTCCATACCGCCTTCATCCACAGGTTTGCAGTTGTGCCTTATTTTTTTATAAGATGGGAGGAATGCTGCTGCTTCAGTTTTTAAATTCACCTGACCTCTAAAAGCAATTGGTAGCTCTAAATTTTTATTTAAGTTGATAAAACTTGAGGAGTGTTAATTTTTCTACCTATCAGATTCAATACTTTGCGTTGATGACAGAGAAAACATTATAGGCACACTATGCAACATTTTTCAGTTAATTAATGTGCTCCATAACGTTTTGGATGATTAAATGAGTCATTTCAGGTTGAACAAAGGTATTCTCGGCCGCCCTGGTGGTCTGTGGGGGAAATACCGCACTTGCAATTGCAGGAGCCCTCGGCCCGCACCCACAGGCTCAGAAGTCTCGCGAGAGTCGGTCTTGCTTTACGGCGAGAACTGCTACACGCCCCCAGTTAAAAACATGCTCGTTGCTAGCGCAGTGGCGATCTTTGTGCAGTTATCATGGCGGAACCAGCGTGAAAACAGCGAAAGCCCATGTCGGAGCAGGCAAGAAAGAGGAAAAGGGCTCTGAACAGAGAGAGGAGTCGTACACGGGTGAACATCGGGCAAGCTTTTTCGGAATGGCGAGAGCTAAAATAAAAAGAAGGCTGCAAGGCTGACGCAGACCTCGCGTTACTGCTGATGCGATTGTAAGTAACATTGGAATGGTTTCTCTCTCTCTGTGTGCATGTTCATACTTTCACTGTTTTAGTCATTCATTGCGTTCGCCTGTCTGCTAAGCTCAAAACAACCGCGCCTGGCTTGACGGAGAAACCAGGAGAACAGCTGTGCATATTTACGACAGTGCACTTTTACTTTCGCCCTCTGGGGGGAGCCTCGCTGGAAAATTAACACCGGTTGCATAGTGTACCTTTAAAGTTCAAGAGTGTATGGTGTGGAAATGTGGAAAAAAACCTAAGGAGTATTGATGCTTTTGCACGACACAATGGATAGCTGGTGAAGGTGACGACACAGACCAAATCAAAGTGGCACTAAAAGAAAATACCTCAGTTAACAGCACTGAGGTGAGGAACCAGGTGAGGTACGCTGTCCACACCATGAATAAAACGCCTACAACCTTAGTTTCAACTAGGGCTGCAACTTAAGGTTATTTTGCAAATCGATAAATATGTTGAATATTTTTTCGATTATTAATTAGATAGCCAAAGATTCTTAAAATAATTTTTTTTAAACAAAATTAAACCAGGTGAAACGCAAACTTTTCCACTTGAGGAGTTCTGGATAGAGCAGATTGACAGATCTTAAATCTTTATCTTTATCTTAAATGAAAAATGTTTATATTTTTTTCTGCAATCGTGGTATACCGGTAATTACTGCTCTAAGTAGGTTTCTCTGTTAGCTAAAGGCCTGTTACAGTCTCTATATGATTAAGTGATTACTGCCTTTGTTGATGATAATTCAATAATCTATAAATCAAGATTAATCCGTTAAATAGTTTCAGCCCTAATTTCAACCAAACCTTTGGGCGTTCTATAACTCTCATAGATTTACTGGTAAACTGGTTGCAGGGAAGATGTTGGGGGTTTAGTTAAATGCTTCGATCACATCTCTAAGGAAGACGTCATGAAGGAAGATCAATAACACCGTTTCTGGCTCTGAAGTATGGGCGGTGGCTCCGGTTGTGGTCCAGACTTCACCAGCCTTTGTTTTAATCCTAGTTTACACTGTATGTGCTTTGATTCACTGTAAAGCACTGAGATGCTCAGAGAGGCAAGGATGGAGAGCCACATAAAAGCTGGGACCAGATCAAAATAATTGGAAAAGGGTTTTTTGCCTCCAGATAATTTCAGGCATTTTGTACAATGTTTTTTTTTATTTTTATAATTGTGCAGTTAATGTGCACATAATGCCAAAATTAATAACAGGCAATGTACGAATTGACGCATATATTAAGTGGACCACAGTTCGGCTCTGGTTGCCCAGCAAATACTACAATTAGGTCAAATTTTGGTGGACAGTGGAGGCAGCAAAAACGCTGCCATTAAAAATTACAGGTGCATTCTTAAGGCGATGTGCAGATCTCCCGGAGTTTAGGAAGTGTGCAGATCTCCCGGAGTTTAGGAAGTGTGCAGATCTCCCGGAGTTTAGGAAGTAGCAGAGGTGGCTGGTTCGAACCAGCTCTGGAGGTAGCACAGGAGGTTTTTTTAAGCCAGCCATGCATCTCCAAAACACTGTTTCTTACTTAATCTCATGTCATCTTTTCTTTTCTGTATCTTTCATTTATTTTGAAAGAATATTTTTCTTTGCTAAGCTGAAACGCCTGACAACGCAACACACACTTCCTGATTATTGATACGACGAGCATTGACAGAAAAGTTTAGACTATTGAACTTGGCTTTTTTTTTACCTTAATCAGACTCTTTGCGATGATAGAAAAACGCTCTTAGCACTTCCTTTGCTCCAATTGGATGATTGGTGTTTGGCGTTAACGTGCCTTAAGCTATGAGTCTGTTAAATTTCGTCACACTTTTTATCGATTACAAATACAGACTCACTTTTAGCTGGAAGTTTTTGTTAAATGTCATCCCTTTAAAAGGAGGAATGCAAAACATTTGTTCAAACGTGCTTGAGCTGGATCCCCAAATCGAACAGGGAGGGCTTTGTGCTTGTCAAACAAATCAAATGAAGCCACCTCTAAAATGGAACCATCGAGTAGATCATTTTATTTTAGACGTTTTTTTTATCATAGGCTGCGAGATGAATGAGCAGTGATTTATTTTAAAAATAATGCAGCTTCACTGCCAACAAAAACTGCTTCAGATTTGTTCCACTAAAACCTCCTATAGTGCTCCTGAACACCCGCCCCCCCTGCCTCACACGCCTCCCCTCCGCTCAAGCCTCACCTCTGCGCTCCTGCTCATGTGTTTGTGTGCGTCTCTGTGGTGGCTGTGCTCTCCCAGCAGAGCACCTATTAGTCTTGGCTTTAACAGACAGCTCGAGTCAAAGATGAACCACGAGGAACTTCCTCTCGTAAATCACCAGCCCTGCACTAAGCTGGGAAACAGCTGCTCGGCTGCTGCTCTCCCTTCCAAATGGGAGGGTGCAAAGATAGACTATGTGTGAGCGTGCACAGAGGGACTTGGTAGGATAGTGGGACAAGTGACCTTGTGACCCCGCATTTCGGTGTCAGATTACAACACTTTATGCTAACTTAAGGTAAAGAGGGCCCGACACACAAATGACCCACGCTCCATCTATCTGCTGAGGCAGGTATACATAACAGAAGAGGAATGTTAATTTCTCTAAACTTTGGGCTCTTTGACTCGTTTTAAAGTATCTGTATTTATAGTACAAGTTTAGAATCAGGGCAAAGGATTGTGGGATTTTCCATTTTTGATCTGGACTCCATTTAAGTCGAACAACATCAGAAATCACAGATTCAGAGCCACCAGCTCCCAGAATGTTGTTCGAACAATGTGATCAGACCGAGCACGCCCTGTTGTATCTAACCCTAACGCCCTGTGTGTTGCAGCAGCTGCTTTATACATCGTTACACCATAAACTAAAGAAAAATGCAGCAACACCATTACCTGACCGACCAGCACTGCTGCTAAGTATCTACTTCTGTTTAGATGTGGTGATTGTGATAAAAGATGCACTTCCGCAGAGATCAAGTCCCACTCCCTAAATTATAAGCTTCTGCAAATTCAAAATGCTTCCAACCTACAGGACCTGAAGGCAGCATCTAGAAGTTGAACATGTCCTGATAAGGGGTTGATTATATTCAAATGCTTCAGTTTTTAAATATTTATTTGTTGTTCATGAAAATGTTGGGAAAAAAAAAAAAAAAAAAAAAGTTAACAGCCATATTTGTTAGTTTTTGACAGAAACCAAACCAGCTTCCATCTTGAGCTTCCTCTTCACATCACACGTTACCCTGAGGTAGAACCCACAGCTAACTTATACTTCAAAGTACAAAACCACAATAAAATCATTTTGAGCATCCATACTTTGAAGAGCCATTTCTATACGGTATGTATTTCCTTCTTTTTGGGTGAGGCAAATGCTTCCCACCCCCGCCTCTGATTTTGTAAAAACGAAAGCAGTGACTTAGCACGGGGCACCGAGACTTCCTCTGCTGCTCCACTCAGAGATGCATCAACTTTGACCCCCTCTAACAAAAACACCAGCATGGCGCAAGGCAACCACAAACGTCCTCCCTAAAATCAGCAGCATGACTGAGTCAGTGTGCAAAAGCAACATGACCTTTACAAAGGTTTTAAACACAAAAATACCAACATTCATTTGTTGATCCATTTTTTAAGACTATGTGGATTCAACATGCATTTAATGATGTTTTATAAAATGCTTACAGTGAAAACGTCATCGTCTCCCAGTTCTCCCTCATTCTGGAGCGCTGTAGAGGAGGTTGTGGAGCCTATGAAGAGAAAAACATGAAAGTGAGCAGCTCTGAAATTGCAGCTATAGTTTCCATTTCAGTCTGCATGTCACTGTTTAGACAGTTGAACCTGCAGAAAACACAAACATTCTGCTTTACCATCTCTGGATGTAAAAAGAAAAACATCCTGTCACCCATCAACATTTCAGAATAACTATTATTAGTTGACAGGTTACACGTTTCTCCACATACTTTAAACTCATTCATGTCCTCACCAGGACCGACTGGTTTTACCCGTCCTGTTTAGGTCGCCACCTACTAAAACAGTCATGAATCAGCAAGGTGTTTTTCCTTGTCTTGCTTTCTTTTTTAAAACTCTTAACTTCACTGGGGAAAAAACAAACACTGTTTTAGGCAGAGATGCACCCATCATGGTTTTCTGGACGACTTTATATTTCTGGGTTTTTGCAAAGCTTTGATCTGCTGATACCAAAATGTAATCAAATTTCTCTAAAAAATAATCTAAATTATGAGCAGAGGCGAAATAAAGATGTCTGATAAACATTTCTGAAATTAATAACTATTTAATTATTTAAGCATTAACAAATGACCTAAGAAACACTGTGCAACGTTTGACCAAAGTAGTGGCTTAAGTTAAGATATACACAATTGTAAACTAGGACGTCTCTTAGCAGATGTAATGGTGAGAAAAATTGCTCTTAAACCCACCTGATACTGAAATGACTGACCGTATTTATACCGCAACACATGCCAGAAAGCAGTAGTACTTTTAATTACTATATTAATAACTTCATTAGGCGGTTGGTAAAAAATACACTCATATAATGTTTCAAACCGCGATAAAGATCTTAAAAGAACAACGTATTTAAGTGTTTTATTTTTTAAACTACGACTTGGAATTATGGGTAACCTAGAGCATAGATTGAAACCATGCTTCGATAAGCATTTCCCTGAAATGAGTTTTTGGAACTTGGGATGTCTGTAACATGTGGTGGTGCGCTGTCACCAATGGTTCCATTCAAGGTGCGCAGTCACTATTTTCCACGTGTGATCATATGCTAGTGGGAATTGCATAATTGTATCTTCTTGGCCGATTTATGGAACTTTCGTCAAATCCTGAACCTTTATCATGTGTTGTACTTCATATGGGGCCCAACCAGATAATGATGATTACGGGCCTATCGTTGTGTCGTTACGCCATTGTATGTTACTTTAAAAGGATCTGGTCAATAGCTGAATTGGTCACGTGACCCAAAAGACTGACGCCATTACAGAAAGGTAAGAAATATATTATTTTAACTAAATTAAAGCTGTTTTTTTCCCTCAGTCAGAGCATCCGAACTGAAGAGCGGTGCTGTTAGTGGGACCTGGTAGAGCTTAGGCAACCGATAACAAGGTTCCGGTTTCCAACCAATTGTCTGGTTCCATTAATGAGGCGAATTGTTTGGTGCATCTTTAGTTGCTCTTCTACTGAAACAGTGATGACTTCTACATTGAAGCACAGCATACCTTCAGCCAAGTCCTCTATTGCCTTCCGCACCCCCCGGTCGAAAGCTCTGCCATCAGCTGGACACTGGAAGGACAAGCCACACCTCCGGTCCTCCACCTTCCAGTGGTGAAATGTGGGCATTGCAATGGTGTACACTATATCCTTCCTCAGCGGACAGTCCAGGATCACCTGCGCATCCGGCCAATAACAACTCAGTGACACTCTACCAAAGCAGACCTCTACCAAGCTGCTCATTTCTCTATATCACCATGTTAAGAAGCTAAATCTTAAATCCAGATTATAATTCTATTATTTTAGTATTCAGCTAACCTGCATCCAGCAGGGTTTTACCTGTTTGTCACGCAGCCGCTCTCCCCGGATGACGAACTGGGAAGTGCTGGAGCCAGAAAGATGCGTCACCTCTGAGGGAAGGAGGCGACAAACGCCCACCCGGCTGAGGGCCCCTCCATCTTGAGCCAGCCAGCCGCCGCTTGAATCGTCCCGCGTCATCACCACCGCTTTCACACGCACGATGTAGCTGTCACTGGAAGGAAATCAGAGGTGAAAGATTAATGGAAAGGGAAGTTCTAAGTATCTGAATACTTTAAGAACACACAGAAAAAAATAAACCTTAGATGAACTCAATCATACAGATTAAAAAATTTACTCAATCAGTTATCGCATGCTTGTTTTGTTACAGTAGGTTCTAATTTGCTTATATGTGGTAAAATATACAGAGTAACTACCGCCTGCAGTTACACCAAAAATGAGAACAGAACCAAGAGTCAAAAAATAATAATTAAATAAAAACATTGCTAACAAATAAAGAAATATGTAGTAATAATTTAAATTTAACTCTTCATTTAACTCATCCCCTTGGGGAGCAGTGTGGGGTAAAGGGTCTTTGCTCGGAGACCCAGAGTGGCAGTCTGTGGGAGTGGGGCTCAAACTCAGAAACTCAAGATTCTAAGCTCTATGCCCTAACCACTAGGCTACCACTCACCAAAAAACATAGAAAATAAAATAAAAACTAACATTTTAACCTTGATTCAATCACATCCTTCCAGAATGGAACGGACCATTTCTTCCACTAGCTGCACTTTATGCACATATCTTCCTCCTAAGGGTGTTTGATATTCCTACAAGTATTTTTTTGGAAGCCCTTGGATTCATAAAGACAAAGATTCTGCATTTCTTTTAGCAGATTTCTTTGCAAAGTCAAAATGGACTTAAAGCCACAAAAGTTTTAGTCCAGCACCAGATTCTCACCCTGGCAGACTGTTTGAGGGCGTCGCAAGTCACGACTTTGCTTGGCCCTCACTGATGTGGGAGGTGTTGCACCAGAATAAGTCAGCATTAAAACACACACACTCAGGGATCAATGTTCAACCCCTGACTGTCAGCGATTATGCTTTTAAGTAATACATTTTGTAAAAATCATGCATGCAGCATGACATTTATGTGATTATTATACAATTAAGCGAATGGTGCAATAATTTACAGCCTTTCACTATATTGGTATTATATGGGTAGATAAATGAGATCATGCAGGTACAGCAGTTTGAACTCGGCTAATAAAACCACTAAAAATCAAAGCAATTACGTTTTACTCCTTTTTAGTAACATGATACAAGTTTATTTTTTAACAAATGCAGACATAACAGCTCTATCTGTGAGTGATAGCTGCTTCCTCAGTTCATTGGTGTTCTTTTTCTAAAAACACCCCCAACTTCACACTTTAAGAACTGTTATCTATAATCATACTTTACTGCTATTTAAACTTGCTTTGTAGTCTATTACAACACTTCCTGCTGTAGAAGCATTGCATTGCATATATCCTGCAGGATATGGTTTATGTTTTTATCTTTTGTCCCAAATATGAGTGGTAAGTTAAAAGACAATATGTAGAATTATTTTTAAATGCACATTTCTTGTTAATATACAGTTTTATGAAATTAGACAATATTACCAGAATTTTAACATTTAAAGCAACTGCTATCATATTTTGTTTGAAATAAAAATCTAAATCTGAAAGAGACACTTGTTTATTTTCCACCATGGTTGTACAGGTCTAAAACTACAAAAAAAGCTTTTTTTTAATAAATGTTTTCAAGCCCTTTAAAAAGCTTTACTATACATACACTTTGTCATAATGAAGGATAGATCACACAATCCTGCAACTAGCAAGAAAAATTAAACGAGTTGTTGCATGTCTCAATAAACCTGGACAAAAAGCTATAAGTTGTCTGTAAAGCAGCAGATTGCAGGCTAGCTTGTTTCTTAGTCGTTTGACAAATTAAAACACCTATTGTAATTGTGTTTATTCAACAAAATGGGAAAAATTTATCATATTCAACAAAGAAGCACATTTAAATCAGTAGTAAATTACAATGGTAATCTTTATATCGGCTAGAAAATGAAAAATAAATATCGTTGCAAATAGAAAATTATTCCATATTTTGTATTAGTCAAAGTGTATCTTTTTTCCTGTTTAAAGGAATTATTATATGCTGTAGATTTGCATTTTAAATTCTTGTGTTAATACCGTGATACCTTCAAACTGACAATTTTACTAAGCTCGTCACACTGCAGCCATTTCATACCACAAGAAATTTGTTTATTAATGTAACCTTACTAACTTTTTAAAAAATGCAAATAAATGTTTGCCAAGGTTTTTTTTTTTATTAACTTAAAGGTTGCTGTACTAAAACAATTAAAGTTGACAGACAATAAAACCAATATGTGATCAGAATTAGTCAGATTAAACAGATAAGACTGTTTTTTAAATCGCAGACCACAGATCATTTAGATAAAACAACAGCCGGCTGGAGCCTTAATCGGACACACATTCAAAACCACATACAAAACCAGTGAGATCATGCAGCCGCAGTTTACTGTTTAGCAACACAAAACAATATGTGACCAACAAAAAAAAAAACCCAAAGCAAAACAAAAAATAAACAAACAGGAGACAGCGGAAGTGAGCAGCAAAAGCACGAGTCTTAGCATGGCAGCCACCACCCACATGGGGACCTAATGGACACGATCCCAATCCTCATGAATGACCTGACAATAACAGGATGTGCCTTTATATTTTCAATCGAAGCTCTTTGTGGGGCGGTGGGGACGGGGCATGTGAAGAGGGACATTAAAAAGAGATATGGAGGTGGAGAGGAAGCGCGGGAGTGAATGAGAACGGGTAGAATTAGCTTTCAGATAGTGCAAAGGATCTAATGCAGACACACACATACAGGTGGCAAAACTGGTTCACCAGCTCCCACCCACACACATTCAGAAAAGTGACTGAATGACAGAATGGCTGACTGGGTGATAGCAGACAAACAGCCCTTACAGAAAAGCAACCACAGAATCAACCTTTAGTGTGAGAAAGTATGGACGCTGCGACTTAAACTGATGCTTTCAGATAAGATGTAATAAACAGACTAAATTGAGGTTTAGTGTTGTTATTGGTAGAGGCCCGTTTAGCTGTGTCATGTCTGTTGTTACTTTCATGTCAAAAGCTAGATGGGCGTAGGCCAAAAATCATTCACCTTCCTTTGTGCCACTAGAAAACTTGAAAAGCAACAAAGGAAATAAGATCAATTTGAAAGAGAATCCGCAATGGTTCCCTCATTTAATGCAATATTTAATTTCCCTTTAGGATAAATAAAGTATTTTTCAACTGAACTGAATTTCCATTAACAAACTAAAGTAACTGCAAGCTGACAAGCTAAATTACAGTGAGAAGCAACACACCTATTTTATGGTAAAATAAAAAAGGCAAAAACTGATTAGAAAATAGGCTTTATTTGCTATTTTAGAGTGAAATAACCAACCAAGAGCATAAAAAGGGTTGCAGTTTCCATCAAAGGAATAAATAGTCTTGTTCCAGGAACCTACAAGAGATTATCACCGTAAGCCTTAAATAAAAACAACTAAAATAAACTCCTCAATCCAGCTATAGCACAAATGACATCCCAAACTTAGACCTCCTTTTTTCCATACATGAATGCCAACTCTTAACAAGGCCCATATGCTGCCAAAATGCAGCTAAAAGGGTCCAAACACCCCAAACCTTGTCTTCCCTTATAATTACCACTGAACCAGAGCTTACCAACCAAAATTAAAGCACTCCCACACAGTCTACGACATCATATACCAAGTCTACGGCATCGATGAGGTCACCTCTAGTTATATAGAAAGAGAATGATGCGTGCTGTTGGGTAACATGTTTTCCAGTAACTGCTCGAGTTTGTGAAGCTAATAAGCACCATTATTGAACAACCGGACAGCTGACATTCAATCGATAAAACATGACACAAATAAAAAACATTTTCTCTTTTGAAAATATATAAAATGATCACATTATTTATATTTAAATTTAAAAAGAAGCAATGATTAAGACTGGTGTTTGACATATTTAATAAAATAGTGACTAAAATATGTCTTTTCTTTATGTTCCCAATACCTCGATCTAAGCAGGGGATTCCAAGTGTTTTTAACATATGTATAGCACAGCATTTTTAGAAATAAAGAACTAAAACAAACTGATGCAAGGATGTAAAAAAGCTAAGCTACCTGCTCGTGTAGCTAGCCTGTATTCATCTGCTGAACAATACCCTTCGATGTGTAGATTTGAAACAGTTGCTTTTATAAAAACGACGCATGGAGCTCCTTTAGTTTTTACCCTATGAGTGTTTTGTCTATAACTGTTCAGCTTTCTTGGAAGCAAGGCTAAAATGTACCTTAGGCCTTCAGCCAGCTGGATGGCAGTGTGCAGCAAAATGTAGAGCAGAGGAAAACCATTGTGACTCTTTAAAGCTAAAGAAACTCTTCTTTAAAAAAGAAATAGGAAGCTAGTCTTTTCCATTTGTTAGATTTAACAAACCGGGACTCGATTACTTTAAACTTCAAATCCTGTTAGTCGTTATATGTTCCTGGCCTTATGGCAGCTAAAGGGTTAGTTTAAAACCCATAGTTTTGCCTTTACGTGACTCAAACACACACATCTAGATATAGAACAACGCACGCATGCCACCCACATAGTGAAATAAACCTTAAATTCTGCAATAAATAGGCACACGTGCTCTCAGATACATGATCCAGGCTATCAGCTCTCTGAGATGAACTTGTCACATTTTGGTCTGTCTTGTGACCCATGTCTAGAGCCCCGTCTGCCGACAGGCCCTATAATCTGTGGTTGGAACACACAGACGGCCACAACCAGCAGCAAAACGCTACTTTAATACACTTGGAGGAGACTAAACATCTTGGCACAGATGCACTCACACTAAGGTTTAGGAACTGTGAATCTAATTCTGTCCATGTGAATGTTGCATGAGATGATCCTGAAATAAGGACAGACACCCGCTTTGACACAAGATGACAGATACACTATAATGATCAATGCGTACACAACCCAGCATGATAATAAAAAGTCTCACACATACTTTTTTCCCCCAACAGCAGCAAAGTGGTTGTGAATTAAAGGATAAATACTGTTTTAGACACATCTTTCAGGTGTTAGATTGATGCTTTTACAAC